ATTCATCCTTTGAAGGGCATTTTGGTTCTTTCCACAGTTTGGTGACCATGGCCATTGCTGCTATGAACATTGGGGTACAGATGACCCTTCTTTTCACTACATCTGTTTCTTTGGGGTAAATACCCAGTAGTGCAATTGCAGGGTCATAGGGAAGCTCTATTTTTAATTTCTTGAGGAATCTCCACACTGTTCTCCAAAGTGGCTGCACCAACTTGCATTCCCACCACCAGTGTAAGAGGGTTCCCCTTTCTCCACATCCTCTCCAACACACGCTGTTTCCTGTCTTGCTAATTTTGGCCATTCTAACTGGTATACGGTGGTATCTCAATGTGGTTTTAATTTGAATCTCCCTGATGGCTAGTGATGAGGAACATTTTTTCACGTGTCTGATAGCCATTTGTATGTCTTCATTGGAGAAGTGTCTCTTCATATCTTCTGCCCATTTTTTGATATGATTATCTGTTTTTTGTGTGTTGAGTTTGAGAAGTTCTTTATAGATCCTGGATATCAACCTTTTGTCTGTACTGTCATTTGCAAATATCTTCTACCATTCCTTGGGTTGCCCTTTGTTTTGTTGACTGTTTCCTTTGCTGTGCAGAAGATTTTGATCTTGATGAAGTCCCAAAAGTTCATTTTCAATTTTGTTTCCTTTGCCTTTGGAGACATATCTTGGAAGAAGTTGCTGTGTCTTATATCAAAGAGGTTACTGCCTATGTTTCTTTTGAGACATGAAATGAAGGAAAGTTTTGGGAGGAATTCTGTATCCCATCCTCAAGGGCCAGTGGGAATTTTCATGGTGGTAAGCATTTTTTTTTTCTGAAGGTACTGTCATTCCTCTCAGGGTATTATAACCTCTACTGATACAATTTTGGCTAAGCTCGTCAGTCATGAGGCTAGATCCTTGATTGTAGTGGCAAGTCTCCATAACTGAATAGTATGGTTCAGTGTGTCCTAGGGAAACAGAATCCTGAGTGTTCAGTGCCTGCCATATATCTCAGGATTAAAATCCCTTTTGCAAATGTGCTTAGATGAATGATGGCTTCACAAATGAGTCTTGTTGAAATCTGAATAAAATGAGTGACAAAAATCACTTCTATAAGCTGAGATCCAGCACAGGGAGCATGGTAGTAGGCAAAAAATGTGAAAGAGAATTCAATTTGGTCAGCAAGTGGTACCAAATAAAAAGGATTATGGCACTGGAAAGTTAGCATGCTATCAAATGCTAGAGGACATGAATGGTACATGAATAAACACTGTGGAATGACATAGCAACTCTGAGTACTTGCCTGATAGCCTTTATACACCCACAGTAAGCAGTGTATGCAAAAACATGAGTAGTGAATACTGGGAAATGGCTGTGTCTAGTCTTGAGCCATTTACACCATTTTCTTAGTCACAGTCATTTGTGAGAATCAACATATTTAGGTCTTATTATATAGTCAGTCAGAAATAAATTATTCATTTTTTGCTCGCCATTTATCTCTTAAATAAATATGAGAAAGTTGAAGAGTAAGCAGATCATGTTTATTGGATGATCTTACTATGTTTTAATTTGCTTTTTAGGCTAGTTTCAAGAATAGAACTTCTTTTTTCTTTTTTCTCCTCACTCAGGGAGAAATTTTCTAGATAGGTGATGGCAGATTAAATTAGATATTTCACTAAACATTTTAACATGAAAAGATTAAATTTCCAAATCTTGGAATTTTATGTTGATATCATTTCCTAACATGCATATTCCATCAGTGGGTTTATGTGTATAAAGATAAGTTATAATTTTAGTGAGTAATGCTTGGGAGGTGGGCTTTGGGTCAGCTTTGAGACCAAAGTTTTAGAAAATTTGATTTTCTATACTACTTTTTTCCTGAGAAAAGAATAATTTTTCTAGTTATGTAGATGGTCAAGGGAACATCTTTGATTCCTTAATTATCTATTATCAGTAAACATTCAACTGGGAAGACATTGTTTCACAAACTTTTAAATTTCCTGTGTTTTTGTGGAATGTGATTTTTTTGAATTGCATAGAATACTCATCACCATAACAAAGAAGTGCTGATTTTGTCATTTTTATCAATTCCTTTTCTCTGAGGTGGACCAAAACAATGGATTCCAAGGGTAACAACCAATTTTAAATCAGTATACTTTTATGGCTTATTTTAAAAATATTTTTCTGTAGTCAAAGAGATAATTGGTTTTGTGAAGTATCTGTTAATCTAAGCAATGTGAGTTATTATTTATCTGGTGAAATGTGAAATATTTTGTCAATTTTATTTTCAGGATTTTTATTACTTCTCTCTTTGAATAATAGCAGAAACATACTACTAAAGTAATATGAGTTCATTTGATAGGAAGGTATATTATAATCTCTTCTGTATTATGCATGTTTGACAAATGGACATCACATCTTTCCATATTTTACTCTATTTCAACAGGTTGACATTAACCACTATCTGGGTCTCATATGAATTTATTCCTTCTTCTTGAGAGAATTCCATTGAGGGGTGTCCCTGATGGCTCAGTTATGCCTCTGTGCTTGGCTCAGGTCATGATCCTGGAGTCCCAGGTTCGATCATGTCCCACATCAGGATTCTTGCTCAGTGGGGAATCTGCTTCTTCCCTTCCCTCTGCCCCTCACATGCTGCTTCTCTTTTTCTCACTCTCTCTCTCTCTCTCTGTCAAATAAATAAATAAAATCTTTTAAAAAAGAGAATTCCATTAGGAATTCTAACATCAGTAAACATTTTATCCTGAAAATACTGGCATTCCTCTTGGGATACTCTAATATTCATATGATAGTAAAATTCTGACTGTACTAATCAGTTGTTAGGCTGTCATTGACTGTGATGACTAGTCTCCATGATTAAGTAGTACAGGTCAGTGTGTCACAGGGAGAGAGAATCTGGAGTGCTTAGTGTCTGTCACATATCTTAGGATCAGTATCCTTTTTATAAATGTGACTGGATCAATGAACTAAAAAATGGATTTCACTAAAATCTGAAAAAAAAATGAGTGACAGAAACAATTCTGTGAGCTAAGGTCTGCCAAAGGACCATATGAGGCAAAAAATATGGATAAAGTTCAGTTAATGAGACCAGCTAGATCTGTGGTATTTGAAACCTAAACTTATTGCATATATTAGGAGAAAAGGATTATACAGAGATCTATAAATATCTGATTTAGAAATGACATGGTAAGTCTTTGAGTGCTTGGCTGGCAGCATGCATACACTCATAATAATCAGACACTGGGGAACCTGCACATGAGTGTTGAGACTGATGAGTCACATTTTTGTCTACCCTTAAGCCATTCATATGATTTCCTTAGATGCTGTAGCCTTGTGAGTGAGGCATAGTCCATTGAGGTCAAATAGATAATTCAGAAGATATTATAATTAATTAGTTGCCAATTATTTTTTAGATAAAGGAAACAGAAGCTGAACAATGATTTGTATTTATGGGGATATATCAGTGTTTTAATTTGCTTATTAACCCAGTCACAATAATTCATACAACATTTTTTTCTTGTCACTCAAAGAGAAATTTTCTAGACATTTGAGTGATGGATTCCAGTATATACTGTATTAAATAATTTTTTTTTAGAAGAGAGGGGGTGGGGGTGGGCTAGCCAGATGATGGGTATTAAGGAGGGCACATGTTGTGATGAGCACTGGGTGTTATACACAACTAATGAATCATTGAACACTACATCAAAAACTAATATTGCACTCTCTGTTGGCTAACTGAACAAAATAAAAATAAATAAAAATAAATATTTGTAACTGTGAAATTATTGCCAGTTATTTCCAAATCTTGGAATTTTATTGGTTAATATTGATATTCCTTCAGTCTTTTTCCTTCTGTTTAAAGGAAGGTCGTTGGAGAAACTTTGACTAGGTCTTAAAACAAATTACTTTCTATACCATTCTATTCCATGGAGCAGGGTACTTTTTATTCTTGTCCTATACTGATCATTGAATGTATATGATTAATTGCTTATAAGCTTTTGTCAATTAACTTTGATTTTGAAAGTTTTTCTTCCTTAGCTCCTCTGATTGTCCCTGTGGTTTGTAGGTTGGGAATAAGATGGCAGTTGCATGGAATTCTTGCCACTTCACCAAAGAATACTTGATTTTGTCACTTTTACCAACTCCCTTATCTGAGAAGAAATAATGATGCACTCTTAAGGTAATACCTAAATTTTTATGAACTTTTTCCTGGGTTATCTTTATTATTTGTTTAAGTAATCAAGAATTAATTAATGTTGTATAGAGTCTGTCAATTTGAACACTGTGAGGCTTTAATAATCTAGATTCTTCAAGATTTTTGTTCATTTTTTTCCAGAATTTTTTTCAGTTTCTCAGTCTTTCCATTAATGCCTAGTAATTCCTGTTAGGCACAGAAATGATTGCAAGGTTATTTCTCACTGGTGTAGCAGTGTTCATACCAAAAAGTGTGCTTATCCAAATGCCATTAGTACTTAGCAGTGTATCTTTGTGAACACCACACTAAAAATAGAATGAGCAGTATTTTAATTAAGAGGGTTCAGTGTCTGAGTTTTCTGTATACTCTGAACCCCTCTAGTCATGTGTCATATGTGTTGTGCCTGTGTGAGCCCTGCATGCATTGCTGTGACCACACTGTGTAATTAGGTGTAGCATAACCCTATGTGTCCTCTGCAAATTGCCATGTTCCTGAGCTCAAACAGATTAAGTGCTGTAAGTAATTTTTAAACAACTGGCCTTTATTTCCCTATAATGGCTTTTTGTGATTTCCTCCTCTCCAAATCACTGGATCATCTTTGAGGATAAAATAATTCTGAGGTTGAGTTACTGGAAATATATGTGCATTGTTGTGATTGAAATTTTCACCAGACCAACATTTTCTTGGAACTTTAAGCATACTCAGATACTCTGGTTGCTCATTTAATTTGTATGGCAGAAAATGTTGGACAAAATTTGCTCTGATGGAGGCTATAAATTAACACAATTAATATATTTTTGGAATATCATTGGAAACATCCTAGGATAGCAGTATATTAGGTTATTCAATAAGAGGCACACTATTGAACCCTCCTATCTTGTGCCTCTGGCAGACTAATGAATATATTTATTTCTCATCTTTCTATGTATTTACTCTATCCCCACAGGTCAATGAGGATAAAGGTCAGGTTTCATGCAAAAATGTTTTTCCTTACCCTTGAGATATGACACCATCCTCAAGGGCCAATAGGAATGCTCAATAATTTTTAGTTAGCATTTGTGCCTAAAATATCGATCTTTCTTTTAGGGATTATGTAATACTCTAGTTATCATAAGGTACTCTATGATAGTCAGCTAGAAAACATGAATCATTAATGTTGGGGCTGGTCTCCATGACTGAATAGGGTCTGTTTCCCAGAGTAATGAATTCCAGAGTGCTCAGTTTCTTTTGTTTTCTGAGGTACACTATATCCTATTTTAGGAACTTGTATGTATCAGTGGTGACTGTAATTGAGGTCAGTGAAAAATTTGAAAAAAATAAGTTACGCAGTTGTTTCTGTGAAATTGAGGTCCATCACGGATATCCATTGTAGAGAAAATATGTACAAGAAGGAGATCTGTGTTTTCATTTGTGTGGTACCAGCAATAACTGCAGTATTAGAAAACCAAGGTGCTGATTTTTTAAAAGATTTCATTTATTTATTTGACAGAGAGATATGAGAGAAGTAATGCAAGCAGGGAGAGTGGGAGAATGAGAAGCAGGCTTCCCACTGAGTTGTGAGCCTGGTACAAGGCTTGATTCCAGGGCCCTGGGATCATAACCTGAGCCAAAGGCAGACACTTAATGCCTAACCCACCCAGGTGCCCCATAAGCTGCTGAATTCTTAAGATGATGAAGTAGTAGGGGGATTCTATGATTGCCTCATTCTTCAAACACAGCTAGATTGATATCAATCATTCTGAATACCCAATAAATTCATCTGAGGACTGAGAATGAACTGCCACATTGTGGAAGGTAGGAGCTGTGGAGAGTTGATTTGGGAGAGAAAAGAATTGCAGGTGCTGCAGAGGTGATGGAGCCCTGATCACAGAGAGAGGGGAGAGTGAGAGAGAGAAAGAGAGGAAGAAAGAGTGAGCACAGTATACAGGGAGTTGCACAAGAAAAACTCTTCCCGAAAACCATTTACTGAGAAAAGGAGAAGGGCTGACTGTCATAAGATTTTACAAGCAGTGGAGCTGAAAGTCTGAAGCTTTAGAAGTCTATACTATCACCAGAGTCATGCCTGACAGGCTTAGGAGTGCTCCTGTGGGGAAAGAGGGCAGAAGCCCAAGAGGAGACAGCATCTATGGATCCCCTAAGTCACACTAAAAGAGGCAGTGCATTTGGGAAATACAGCCCTCTGTCAGGACAAAAAAGATGGCAGGTGTGATTAAGCAAATCTTTAATTAGCATACCAGCAGAGGCATCTCCTGAAGGCAGCTAACCTGGAAACCATCTTTTTGCTGTGCTTTACCATAAACTCTGAGCCCCTATGTGGTCATGTGACTACTTTTCTGGGACAAATGGCACCAACCACACCACAGCAAGACCCTAACTCAGAGGATCAGTATGAGTATGAGTTGTGCTGGGTCACTAAAATTTGGAGTTTTGAAACCCAGCCATGTGACTGAGATAAAACACAGAAGCACTGTGCTGCCAGACAGAAAGCTAGCTCAGACACACACAGGGTGAAAGCAGGGTTCTGATGGAAACCAGGACACAGGAGGGGAAAGAATTTGCTCTTCTGTGAGGGCTTCCTGAATAGCTACAGGTGTGAACTCCCCTCTCTGGGGACATGAGAGTGGGATGACAACCTTTCCCCCGAAATCTATCAGTACAGACATATTTCAGTGAACAGCATAGTACCCCCAGTGGAGGCTGGAGCTACTTAAATCAATGCCAATCTCACTGTGCCTTGTGGATGCATCTTTTTTTTTAATTTAAATTTTAATTTAAGTTTATGTTTTAGAGTGAGAGGGGTTGGGGTGAAGGGCAGAAGGAGAAGGAGAGAGAGAATCTTAAGCAGGTGCCACATCCAGCACAGAGACAAAGCAGGGCTTGACCTCATGACCATGAAATCATGACCTGAGCCAAAAATCAAGAGTTGGTTGCTTAACCAACTAAGCCACCGAGGTGCCCCTGCAGGCCAATCCTTACTAGGTCAAGTCTGCCTGAGAATCAGGACAGTAGGTCCATCCCCCAGAAGATCTGCACATCACAACCCCCAGACACACACACACACACACACACACACACACATCAATTCTACTGGTCATGAAGTGCTGCAAATCTTCAGCTATAGACAAAGTAGAATTTAGCCTTTTCTAACAAGCAGACCAAAACATACCCAATTAAAACTTACCACACAGAGGACCAGGTCCAAACACACCCCACTGAAGGCAACTTCCTGAAGCACAAGGCCCTAGACAGAAAATGACCTCTTTTTAATATAGCCATTACTTTCAAGAGCAAGAAACATAACAGGTTCCCTTAACCTACAGAAAAAGGAGGTCTAGGCAAAATGCCAGATGGGGAAATTTATCCCAAAACAAGGAACAAGAAGCAATCACAGCCAGTGTCTAGTCAAAATGGAAGTAAGTAATATACATGAATGATAATTTAAAAAAAACAATAATAAAGATTGTAGCTGGGATAGAAAAAACATAGAAGACTCTAGGAAGTCTTACTGCAGAGATAAAGGAACTAAAAACTAGTCAGGCCAAAATTTAAAAAAAAAATGTTATAACAAAGATGCAAAACCACCTGTATTGGCAAGGATGGGAAAAGCAGAGAAATTAGTCAGTGATATAGAATATAAAATTATGGAAAAAATGAAGCTGAAAGGAAGAAAGAAAAATATTGCATCATGAATGTAGACTTAAGGAACTCGGTAAGTCCATAAAGAGTAATAACATTCATATCACAGGAGTCCCAGAAGAGGGAAAAAGAGGGGCAGAAGGTATATTTGACAAATTATAGCTAAAAACTTCCCTAATCTGGGGATAGAAACAGACATCCACATCCAGGAGGCACAGAGAATTACCATCAAATTCAACAAAAGCCAGCCATCAAGACAAATCACAGTAAAATTGGCAAAATACACAGAAAAGGAAAGAATACTGAAAGTAGCAAGGGGAAAATGTCTTTAACCTATAAGGGAAGACAAATGAGGTTTGCAGCATATCTGTCCACAGAAACTTGGCAAACCAGAGAAGAGTGGCATGATACATAAAATGAGCTGAATAAGAAAAATATGGAGCCAAGAATACTTTATCCAGCAAGGCTAACATTCAGAATAGAAAGAGAGATAGACTCTTAGCTATAGAGAATTAAGTGAGGATTGATGGTGGGAAGGTGGGTGGGGAAATGGGCTAAGTGGGTAATGGGCATTAAGGAAAACTCTTATAATGAATGCTGAGTCTTACACGTAATGATGAATCACTGGATTCTACTCCTGAAACTAATACTACACTGTGTGTTAACCAACTTGAATTTAAATACAAACTTGGGAGAAAATGAACATAAAGAAAAAGGAGAGATAGTTTCCCAGACAAATAAAAACTAAAGTAGTTCCCAGACCAATAAACCAGCCCTGCAAGAAATATTAAAGGGGGCCATTCAAATGTGAAAGAAAGATCAAAAGCAACAAAGAAAGGAACAGAGAAAACCTCCAGAAACACCAATGTTACAGATAATACAATGGCACTAAGTACATGTCTATCACTAATCATCCTAAATGTAAATGGACTAAATACTCCAATCAAAAGACATAGGGTATCTGAATGGATAAAAGGATAAGACTCATCTATATATTGCTTACAAGAGACTCATTTTAGACCTAAAGAAACCTCCAGATTGAAAGTGAGATGATGTAGAACCATCTATCATGCCAAAGGACATCAAAAGAAAGCCAGAGAAGCAATACTTACATTAGATAAGCTAGATTTTAAACCAAAGAATGTAATAAGAGATGAAGAAGGACACTATGTCATAATTAAGGGGTATATCCAACAAGAAGTTCTAGCAATTGTAAATATTAATGCTCCCAATTTAGGAGTAGCCAAATATATAAATCAATTAATAACAAACATAAAGAAACTCAGTGACTTATTACGGTAATACTAGGGGACTGTAACACCCCACTTACAGCAATGGACAGATCATTT